ATTTAGTCTTCCCAAACTTGGCCTAACTTTTGAGTGCTGAATTAGGTTATCAAACATCGCATTTCTTAGTCCATAATATAGACTTGAGAGTTTTATTTGGGCTGAATTAGTTTTATTCGGTTGATTCTTCTTCTATTGTTTGGAGAAGTTGTCTTTTAATATCTGGATCAAGTTTCAACTCATTAATCTTGGTCTTGACTTTAGATTTGCATCGGTTCGCATAGTGACCAATTTGGCCACACTTATAGCATTTAATTTCTGATTTGGATTTTGCTTTACTTTTTCCTGTATTTGAAGCTTTGTTGGAATAGAACTTCTTATTAGGTTTCGGTGGATATGTCTTATGTGACTTTCGTCGGATAGGTTTAGACTGTTTCTTATGAGAAATCTTTCTAGTTTTAGCAGGATATTTAATACCTGGTTCATAAGCAAACTGTTCGCAGAATTCTCCTAATTCTTTTCTTCCTGTTAAATTCTGTTGCTTCATTTGATAATGAAGTTTAAGGTCATTACATAAGGATAGACCTTCGTCGGTAACAATGGAACAGAGTTGCCCATATGTATACTGTTCATAAGGAATAGACATTCGGTCATGGCGGTCCCGAAGTTTTTTCCTAACTCATTCGGCAAAAATGGTAGGAAGGCCATCAATAAATTTAGCCTTCCAATGGCTACTGTTAGCATCAGGGCGTTGAGTGATGTAATTTCTTGTAAATACCATATTCTGATTCGTCATCTATATTCCATTCATAGATGGTTTTACCATGGTAGGATCCCTGATCATTGATGTATGTCTCTTCATAGAGTACATCGGGAGGAGTTGGTCTGGCATAATAGTTTCGGGTTGGTGGTAGCATAGCTGGTCGAGAAGAATTATAGGAATGAAGTTTGGTTACAGTTGTGGGTTCCTGGAAATTTAATTGTATCACTTGAATTTGTTCAAGTGATATATCCTCTTCCTGTTCTAGTGTAGGATTTGGATTTGCTCGAAGCATTTGGATTGAACCAGAGGGTTCATGGGGTTCAGGTCTAACATTTAATGTTTTCATTTGTTGTAATAGAGTGTCCATAAATTCTGTATTAGAGGCTTTTAATTTAAAATTGGTTACCTCTAATGGTGGCTTAATGGATACTGGATGGATGGTAGAAGGTCCTACTGTTGGTGGAGCTAAATTCCTATCTCTGAAAGTATTGATAGCTTCTTCAATTCTAGTTAACTGTTTACCCATTGTTTGACAAAACAAATTAGTATAATTATGTTGTCTGCAAACAAGTCCTAGGTCTGACAGTTTAATATAATCTGATTTGGTGAATCTAGCTGATTGAGCATCTATATATGCTGTGGCAACTAACGGTTGACGAGTTACTTCTCCATCAGGAGCTAACTCTAAGGATTGGGGTGGTGGATGAAGGGCATGGATGACGTGTCCTTCAGTTGTAGTCCATGTCTTATACTGGTCTTCTAATATATGTAATTGGGAACTAAATACTGTATTATACCATTCTACAAAAGGTATCAATTTCTGATATAATTCAAGGTGTTGATAATACTGAGTCTTGTATTCTTGTAACTGTTGAGACGTATGGCTTGTAAAATACCATGTCCTAAATTCCTGATATTGAGGTTGAAGAAATTCCTGGTTTAAATACTTACGATTTGCATTTCCTGGTGTAAAATCCATTAGATTTCAAAATTCATGTCACTGGCCGTTGGGCTATCTGGTGCTGGGGTCGTACAGACACCATGTGATATTTGGTTATTAGATATCCTAATACCTTGTATATCTGAAATCATTGGATCCTCATTAGGATCACTAGGTGGTCTACTAGGAGGTCTATCTGGTATGAGGGAATCTACAGATTGCCTACTGGATTCTGGTAAATCCACTCGATAAGGAGGAGCAGAACGGAAACTGTTGTTAGAAAAGTTTCGAGGAGCTGTTCTAAAACTAGCATTAGAAGAATTACTTCGGATCAGCTGCTGTGGAGGTTTCTGAAATTGGATATACACATTTCCTCCTTGTGTCTGAATTACATCATCTAGATTTTGACGAATCATAGGTTTTGCTGGAACAGCATTGGGAATATGCCATCTTTCTGGAAAGGTTATATCCTTCCAAGGAATTAACCTAGGGACTGCTACTTGGCTACTGTAAAGATTGGTGTCTATTAACACTATTTGTCCTGTAGTAGTCTTCTTACGGGTGTAAGGATTTAAGGTAGTTAAAACCTTAAGGTATATTCTGGAATGAACAGAGAATGGTGGAGATCCTGGTTTATACTCATAACCATGAGTCAAAACTCTCAGTTCCAAGACATCAGATAAATTAGCATCAGACATTGCTATGCTAAGATTTGGATAAATATCGAAATATACTGGTCCATGTGACAAACTTGTCTCGATGGCTCCCATCATGGAAGCTCTCCAATTGAGACATCTTCCATCACGAAGTGTACATTGTATACTGGTATTTTGACCTAAAAGAGTCAAAGGCTTAAGCTACCTGTACCAATCCTATGTGGATGTACTTATACTTACCGACAAAAGGGATAAAATCGTTTATATGAATTAATCTTATGATTTCATCATTGTTCTGGATACATGAGGCATGTTCAAAGGTTTTAATTATCTGTCTACTGAAGAAATTAAAATGTCCGATTTTATAAATTGTTTTTGGATCTACTGTTGGGATTGTCCATTTGTCTAAGGCATCCTTTACGTCCTGTTAGGCAACTAATTCAGTTGCTTCGGCTAGGGAGGTAACAGTATTACCTACAGTTGTTACTGATTCATTACCTGTTGGTTCTACTGGTGTTTCATTAGTAATTTCTGCCATGGATGTATTGTTATCATATATGCCTAATTTATTGAGTTTATAACCATATATGTATATAATTAAACATGGCTTTGATACCAACTAAGGTGCTCACTAAAGGTTTTGGGCTAGTACGTCTGTCAACGACTTACAGGTGTAGATGGTCAACATGCAATCTCTGCTATACGACCTAACCCTACGCGACTTGGGTGACGTCCCACTAGCCTTCACAATTAATTAACCTTACATTAGCACAAACCCAGGAATAGTCATATGCATAATATGTAGATAAACACAATAAATTACAACATATATGATCCCATTAGTTTATTGTTGAGGAGGTGGAGGCCTTCTGGCCGCCCACCCAACTATCTGTTCGTTAATCAGAGTCTGTAATTCTGCTATATGCCGATTACACTCTGATATACGCTCAGATATATACAGTTGGGTATAATAATCTCCAGGTGTATTAAGATAATAATTTTTCTGTTGTTGCCAAAACTGCAGAAAAGATAATAACTATTCTAAAGTATTAACAGAGGGCATGCATACTTACAATCATGGAGAGTGCACACAAAAACTTGAAATTATTAATGGAGGAAGTACTACTATTTTACAAGAGGGGTTTGGAAGGATTACAAGAGAGAGAGGAGAAATTGTAAACATAAAATTCAGTCTGTCTCAACAAGGGTGAGACCATCCCTATTTATAATACAAGGAATATAAGAGAGAATTGAACAAGTGGATAGGTGTCTGTTACTGACTGGGCCGACGGATACACCTTATCCTTATCCTTATCTCAAGCTTTGTCTGAAAGTGGAGCAAAAATTTCCTTTTGACTGGTAAAGGGCATCTTCTTTTCCTAAAGTTGTTTGTCTGGTAGTGTCGACACTTGACACAATTAATGCTCTGGACCCTTGCCTTTACCTTTAGTCATTCTTTCTGCAATTACAGCTATTAGTGAGTCCCAAAAGTCACCAAGGTTGGGCTCATCTTCTTCTGGAAGCTGTGACTCTCCTGCCAACACGTGTTCGGCTAGATCATTCTCTGGTTCTGATGCAGTCTGACTGGTACCTGATCTCATGGAAGCGTCATCTTCTTGGCTAACTGTTTGGAGGAACTGTTCTTTCAGAAAATCCATACTTTTGATTACTAATTCATGTTCTGAAAGATGAGGAAATTGTTGTTTTAATTCCTTTTGAATTTGGAGAAAAGGATTACTAGATAATGCTGGTGATGGAGCAGGTAAAGTAGGCTGCTTGACAGACTCCCAGCATGCTTGGGTATGTTGTTGTATTTTCTGGACAGTTTCTGTTAAATTAGGGTTCATGCCCTTATCCCACCATTTTACAAAAAAGATTCTTTTAATGCGGGAAACATTATTCTGGTAATCACAGGCGAAGTCCCATTTCCATATCCATGGGATACTAAAGCGGATGGTAAAATGGACTATTGACTTACTGATAGAAAGATCTTTGTTTTTATTCAAGTAGGAATATGCTCGAGAATAAGCAATATTCCATTCATTGAAAGCAGTTCTAATGGGTTCTGGTAAAATATCCAATGAAAGTCCAAATTTATCCCACCAAACGAGGAACCAATTAGGGACATCGTTTTGAAGGACATCGGGGCAAATACGGATAAACCAAGAATGATTCTTGATGGGATTCTGGTAATAGAAAACCTGGGTAAATGCATCAACATAATCCCAGTAACTGTATTTAGTCTGTTTATTACGCAAGTCAATGTCACGAGTGGTATGCGGATGGATGCCCCATGTAGAAATGGGCATAATATTGCGGATAACAATTTTACTGAATTGGATGGGGCTAGTTGTTTTGTTAGCATCATGAAGAGTGTGCTTAAATTCAGCTGCCCCGGTTTCGGTTAATATTTGTTTATAGATATATCGATACTGATCAAAGTGGGGAGGAGATTGTTGCGTCGTGAGATACCGGCGCTTGATCTCCCATGGATCGGTCATCCATTGCTCATTTGCGGATTCAATGTAGAGGACTATTTCCTCTGTAATACTATTTGGGGTATACGGTTCTTCAGTCTTAAGGAGGATATCCTTAACTGAGGGATTACTGGTGTGTCCACGAGAAAGAGACGGAAATTCTGTTGGATCATAGCGAGGGCTGTGACCCCTGCCACGACCACGACCTCGATGGCCCCTACTGGTCATTCCTCTTCAAGAGTGGATTTCTGCAAATATTCACGGGTTAAGAAATCAGGCAAAGAATTAGATTCTCCTTTGATATATTCAATATCAAAATCAAAATTAGATAAAAAAAACTTTGCCATGTTAAAAATATCTGTTTTGAGGCAAGATTTTTCACATCTTTTTAAAAATTTGTTTTGCAGCAGAGAAATCAACTCTGATGAGAAAATGCTGGTTTAAAAGATCATCCTGAAATTTAATAACACATTTTACAATGGCTAAACATTCCTGTTTAATTGTTGGATAATTAGAAGCGGCTTTATTCCAATGACCAGAATGGAATCTTAATAATTTCTCTTTCTTGGTATTGGGATTAAACTGTTTTAATATCCCACCCAATCCTGTATTAGAAGCATCAGTTTCAACAATCTTTTTTCAATTAGGGTTTGGTAACTGTAAGCAAGGTAACTGTTGGACTTTAGCTTTAATACGTTTAACAGCTAAAGTATGTTCTTCATTCCATGGTGGCGGATTCTTCCTTAACCTGGTATACAAAACATTAGCATCTGCTGATAACTGATAATAATAATCTCTGATATAATTAAGACTTCCTAAGAATCTTTGTAATTGAGTTTTATCCTTAATTTCATCGGGAAATTTCGAGGCAAACTTAATACTTCTGTTAATAGGAATAATACTTCCATTGGAGATATTATGTCCTAAATATCTAACTGTTGTTTGGAACAATTGCATTTTTGGTGCGGAAATAACTAATCCATTTCTGATAATAACATTCTTAAAAATATTAAGATGTTTTAGATGCTGGTCAATTGATGAAGTGAATATTAAAACATCATCAATATATGATAAAGCAAATTCTGTATAAGGAGTAAAAATATCGTTCATGATATGTTGAAATTCTGATAGAGCATTTTTAAGACCAAAGGGCATTACATTCCATTCATAATGTCCAAAGGGTACTGTAAACGCTGTTTTATAACGATCCTGTTCTGCAATTTGGATTTGCCAATATCCCGATTTAAGATCAAATTTCAAAAATATGATAGCATCCTGTAATCGATCTAAAAGATCCTTTTTGTTCGGAATCGGGTATCTAATCCATTGAAGTACTTCATTTAACAGCTTATAATTAAAAACAAGGCGTGGAACATCTCGTTCAATTTCTGCATTTTTATTAACATAAAAAGCGGTACAACTCCAAGGAGATTGGCTAGGTCGGATGAGTTTCTTAGAAAGAAGAGTTTGGATTTTTGTTTTACATAATTCCATATATTTTTTCATTTGACTAGGGCGAGCTCTAGTTGGAATATGTTTTTCATTAAAATTTGGTTCATATGGTAATGTAACTGTATGTTTTTTACGTTCCCAAAAAGCATTTGGAACATCATTACAAACTTCTGTTTGAAATTCTGTTTCAATTAATTTGATTTTCTGTTGTAAAGAAGGCTGTTGTAACCTTTGTTCTGTTGTCAAAAATTGAACTTCTCTTTGCAAAAAATTTATCTATTTTTCTTTAGAAGTTACTAGATCACGAATTTGATCTAATTCTTTTGTGTATGGTTCTGTTATAAATTTAAAAATAACTAATCTTCCCTGTATTTGAGAGTAAATACCTGTTTGGTCAATTTTCTGTATGGGCATAAGAAGGCACAAAAAAGGAGTACCTAAAATGATGTTTTGTGCAAGATTTTTGACTAATACAAAAGATGTGGGTAGACAAGAATCTTGGTTACAAATATAAGCTTCTGGAATCTTATACCTGATCTGGAGTGAATTTCCACTTGCACTGGTTAGACTTTGAGTAGTCTTTTGGAAATATCTGGTAGGAACTATGCCTTCCTGAATATAGTTCATATCTGCACCACTATCAACTAAAGCGATAGCATCTTTGATCCAAAAGTCTGGTTGTATCATAAAGGAAATTTTGATATACCATTTCTGGAAAGTGACTTGATTAACAAGTAGTAAATACTGGTCTTCAGATTTTACTGCTTCAGTTTCTGATTTCTTTGATTTAAGCTGATTATGTAGATATTTAATATCTTTAATAGTAGCTGCACTGGCTGTCTGTAAATGTTTGACTTCTGTTTTTAAAATATTTATTTCCATTTTTAAATCCTGAATTGTTGTGGGTTGTTCTACAGAGGTAGAATTTAGAGTCTGGATTCCTTTAAACACATCTTGAAGATTGTAAGAATGTACTGGTATTAAAGGTTGTTCTTGAACTGTTTGTTGGTGTTCATAACACATTTTTAGATATTTAATCTTTATTTCTGGATCCTGGATTTGATCTGCTACTGGCAGCATATCTTTTTGTGCATCAGCTAAAACATTAATACTGCTAGGTTCACCTAAATGTAAACCATTCACTTCAACTATTGATTTCCAATAATTGATTTCTGACAGTTGGTCCTGGTTGGTTGAACAAGGGCAAGCAAATTCATCTTGTTCATCGTTACTACTGGAGGGTGAAAATAATTCATTAATTTCATCTTCGGAAGGAGACTCGTCTTCGGTTGATTCTTCCTCTATTGTTTGGAGAAGTTGTCTTTTAATATCTGGATCAAGATTCAACTCATTAATCTTGGTCTTGTCTTTAGATTTGCATCGGTTCGCATAGTGACCAATTTGGCCACACTTATAGCATTTAATTTCTGATTTAGATTTTCCTTTACTTTTTCCTGTATTTGAAGCTTTGTTGGAATAAAACTTCTTATTAGGTTTCGGTGGATATGTCTTATGTGACTTTCGTCGGATAGGTTTAGACCGTTTCTTATGAGAAATCTTTCTAGTTTTAGCAGGATATTTAATACCTGGTTCATAAGCAAACTGTTCGCAGAATTCTCCTAATTCTTTTCTTCCTGTTAAATTCTGTTGCTTCATTTGATAATGAAGTTTAAGGTCATTACATAAAGATAGACTTTCGTCTGGATACTGAGCCATTTTAGGTGACTGCACTTGAGGTGTATTGAGTATAGGTGAGCTGAGGGGTGATTGCTGAAATAACTAAATTGGTGAACTTTGTCTGACCTTTCTTCACCATACAACTGGTAACAGTGAGGCAAACACTGGTTGTCCCCAAACAAGATCTCCAACCTTATAAAGTCTTCTGACGCGGGTCCAGAGTACTTAGGGGATATCAAAACTTTTTAAAGCTATGATTTTGGACTACCTAGCAAAAAAAATAGAGAAAAGCAACAAGCTGAGAAAATGGATAGCACCTCAGCACAAATTGCTGCGATCATAGCTTTAAGACTATACTCCCCATTGAATTCTGCCCTACAAACTGATATCAACTGTACCACTGATATGAAGCATTCTTGTACAGTTTCACTATAAAGCACGTACTAGATAAAGAGAGCCAAAGTACCCCTATGAGGGGGGAGGGTTACCTTGTCCTAGTTTTTGTTATGATCTAGGGTTTGACTAATTTAAGCAAGTAGTTTCACAAAATCCTGCATATAGGCGAGCATCATGTCCTATGTTGGAACAGTCGTTAGAGCTTTACTATATACACTGGGCCAATTGGTCAAAAGGGTACCTCAACAAGGTTACCTAATATACTTCTCACACCTAACACCGAAAAGTGAAAGAAGGATCAAACGGTACAGTGGTAACCCAGATCTAAGGGTTGTGTTCCCTACGTGACATTGCCTACGTTCGACCAGCCTTTTGGCAAGCTTTTCGCAAGCCTTTGGTCAATCGTCCAGGATATCAGATGGTAAACACAGCGACTTGAGAGCACAAATGAAAATGCAATACAATGAACATATATTTTCAAATAAAATATCACATCATGAAATCCAAGTCAAGTTCTCTAATTCTCTAGTAGAGTCACTAGAAATTGTAATTGGTTTTTCATGCTTCTCGGATGGGTTTAGTCTCCTCGGGCACGATAGCCCTATAGTTCAGACTTTCGTGGTTCTAAATCTAGTTCCTTAAGTGCAATGTGAAAAAAAAAAAAAACACTAATGAGAGTCCAAATCTAGCAAATCTTAGAAAAATCCATTAATTATCAGAGATGCCAAAAATGGACTGCATTGCTAAATTTCAGAGTCGCCACCTAAATATTTTTGAAAAATTTTGAAAACCTGTGACTCGTGCCAAAGGCCACTTGTCTGTTATAACCAAAGTGTCTCAGCTCGGGAACTTAGGTATAAGAGGGGAAGGTTATGAATTGAGCACCCCACTCACCTGATCAAAGATCGACCTCTATTAATCATGAAGTGATTTTTATGCGTAGTATATGCTCATATTCTGATTATTATACTAGCTTACTATGTGAGACACACGAGTATAGACTATTTCACTAACTTTAGAATGCCTTCATTTCATGTTTCTCTGAAAAGATTTTTGAATATGTGCTACTTGAAAGAAAAGTAAACTCATATGTACATTAATCAAAATAATCCCAACTTAAGCGAAAATAGCCTTCATCCACATGCATTCAAAGAGGTATTCCAAATAAGCACATAGCCTCATGGTATTATGCTTGACATTGCAACACAAACACACATGCAATATGTTAAAGCAAAAATGCTCACCTAGTACTCAACCGAGGCAAGCCAAAGAGAAGAAAATAATTAGAAAAATGCATGTTCCTAAATAAGCAAAGTGATTAATGCTACCCATACGAAAATGTAACTACTAATATGGATCAACTCAAAGCATGCGTAATGCACGTATTCAAGCAAGTAGGAAATGGCAATGATATTAGAATGATGAACCGAACTTAATGCATGCAAAATGGATACAAAGCATAGCAATGATATGAAACGAAAAATATGATACTACCACGATAAGCATATAAATAAAAGGGAGAAAGAAATGGGGGTTGAAAGATATACAAATATTATAAATTTGCCCTCACACAAGAGGGTCCAAAAGAGTGTCCCAATTAACTAATTATTCAACACAATTGAATAGACTAATTAGCTATATTATTACAAGTCCAAATGAAAGTAAGGCAACTAATTAATTACAAATTATTTACGAATATAAATATTAAGGGTACTAATCTAATAAACTTGGATGGGAGGTGAGGAACCGCATGCGCATAATCGAGAACATCTTCCGGAAACCTCTCTGTTTGCTGCCAGAATCTGCTCTGTTTGCAGTCAGAAAATTATTCTATTTTGGCCTTAGATTCTGCTCTGTTCTGCTGTAAAAATTCCACTTCCTATACAAAAATAGGTGGCCGGCCAGCTGTAGACTGCCCGAAACTCTCTCCGCGCAGCCTCTCTTTTCGAAGAGGGCGCGAATTGGGTTCTTAGCTACTACAGTTTAGACTCCTATCACGGTTCTGAATTTAATCTCACAAAGTGCAATGTAAGACTGATAAATCACCAAAGAGTCCAAATTCGGCAATTGGTTTTGAAAAATCAATTTTAATCAAAAGCGCCAAACATGGACTGCTGCCAGATTTCAAAGTCGCCACCTAAATATTTTGTTTTAGGAAATTTAGGAAACCCTGACTCGTGCTTAAGGCAACGTGTCTATCATCACCAAAGTTGCCTCGGCTCGGGAACTTGGGTACGAGAGGGGAAGGTCCTGAAATGAGTACCCTCACTCGCCCGATCAAAGATTGGCCTCTACTAAACATGATATGTTGTTTTTGAAAACTCGTGTTCTTATTCCAGTTGTTAATCTATCATTACTACGTGATGCGCACAGCATACAAGTATAGACTAAATCAGTCAATTTGGAACAAAACATCTCATGCTTGTTTTTTTCGAAAATGGTTTGGAATTGCTACTCGCAAGTAGGCTAAAGCGCGGATTTGCCACCAAACATGGTGGGCTTAAAACATGATGATTTGCCACTTCAAGTGGGCTTAAAACATAAATTTCGATGAATTGTTCCAATTCAAGCAATGACGCCTTCATCCAAAGGCATTCATGCAGTTAAACACTTAAGTACATAGCCTCATGGCAAGCATGCACTCACACTCATGCAAGGATGCTAAAGCATAAATACTTACAGTGTTGTAGACACCCCATTTTTGACCGTCCTCAAGACTTGGACGTCACCGTTTGAACACTCGGTGATCATCCATATTTGTGTTCGTTTGGAGTTCCCGGAGGCCTCGGCTCGCATGCCTTGCCTCAGGATCTCCGAACTCGACCGTTTAGTGTCTGGTTTTGCACCAAACACTTGTGTTTTGCCTTGGAGGGGCAGGGAATGCCTTGTGAGGCATCCCCACACACCACCGGCAGTGGCTAGAGGTCACGGCTGGTTTTTGCTGCCATCGCAATATATATTGCCGGTTGGCACTCTTTGTTGCCGGTCGGCACTCAATTTTGTCAAAATGACATTTTTGGCCGGCCGACTACTGTGCATCTGCTTTTGCCAGATATTTATCACAGCTGTCTTGCTTTTGCTCCCTGTGTATGGAGGGATCTCCCTCTTTAGAAGCTTGTCTTGAAGCTTTACAAGACAAAAAGGCTCTATAAGAGAGAGTCTTCTCTCTTGGCTTTAGGGTTAGAGACTTGAGAGACTTAAGATATTTTAGACAGCCATTTTTAGGGTTTGAGTTCTATCGGGTTAGAAAACCATACACTTTCTATCTCTATATCTCCCCTTGTGTGTGTTAAATTGTGTTTGGTCTTACTATTGCACACAAACACATAGTGTTTCACCTTCACTTAGCTACTGAGGTTCTAAGAGGTCGATTTTGAAGTTTTGGAGCTGTTTTCAAGCTAGAAGGAGCTGTTGGAGCACCATTTGTTGAAGGGGTCTTCAAGGGTAACAATTTTACCCTTTATTCCCCAATCTTGCATTGTATTTCTACCTTGTCTTAAATTCGTTTTTGAGCTTGGTGTATAATACAAAAAAGTTCTGTTTTATGGCCCTCTAAATTGTTTATTAAGAGTGTTTTGTGGTTTAGAGGTGTTTGACCCCTCTAAGGCCTTGAAAGGCCCCATTTTGTGCTATTTTGAGTGAGTTTCGAGACTTTGGTGTTTGGGCCTTTTCACCACTGAAATCTTGAGGGATTTCAGTGGTGGAGATGCGGCTTGAAGTCTCCAAAAGGGGAGGGCCACCCCCTCTCCCTTGTTGTCCTTGAAACGGACCCTTTTGGCCTCTTGAGAGAGCATCATGTTAGAGTGTGTATTGACCATGTCTTGGCTTGTTTCCATGCTTATTATGCCATGATATAACCTTGTTGTGTGTTGGTTTTGGTACACCATACATGTTTAGCATACCTACCATGTAATGCCATGTTATTGCCTTATATGCCTTAGGTTGTTAGCCTTGTTCTAGCATGTTTTAGGCTTAGTCTTGTGAAGCTTTTGTGCATATTTTGCCATGTTTTAGGTCTGTCCATGGTTGTTTGGGTCGGATTTGGCATGCATCATATAGCCCCTTTGCATTTTGGCTTGTTGGCCTTAAGTGTGTGAGTGTGTAGCATGCCATTCTTGCATTGATTTAGTGGTTTGGAACTATCCACCATGTAATTTCAGTCCCCTTTGCATGCCTATATGCTTGCCTTGGATGTATCTTTGATGCCTTATTAGCTTGTGTAGCATGCTCCTTGTTTTGGCATTTATGCATGCTTTTGAATTTAGGTCATTTAGATGCCATCTAAGTGATCTTTAGGCCTTGTCTTAATGTGCTAAAACTCTGTTTTTGGTCAATAAGTTCATGCCATGTTTGGTCTTGTTAAGGGTAATTCAATACTCCATTGGTTTGCTTTGAGTACTTGGGCCATTGTTGCATGTTTAGCTTGCCTTGTTGCTTGGTTTGGCACCATGTTTTAGCATGATTTTCAGAGCTTATGTTGCATGCCATATGTCCATGATATCCTCATTCAAGTGTGCTTGAGAATTGCCTCACTTGTGCCTAAGTGTTGGCCCTTTTAACATGTGCATGTGTGTATGTGTTTTGGTCCTATTTAGAGTTGCCTAAATCATGTATAAGTCCATCTTTCCATCCATTTGTATTAC